CCTCCCACCTGGGATCAAGACCAACCTGGTACACGCCGACTGGGAATCAAACCAGCGAACTTTCAGCGCACAGGACGATGCTCAACCACCTGAGCTGCACGGATCAGGGCTCACCTTTCTCTTCTTTGTAGTGGGTGTAGATTTAGAGTCAGTCCTGTGTCTTTAGTTTTTTGTGTGTATTTTTTAATTTACACACACACACACACACATGTATGTATATCTATATTAGAAGCCCAGCGTATGGATTCATGCACCAGTGGGGTCCCTCGTCCTGGCCTGTGCGCTCTCACAATCCGGGACCCCTCAGGGGATATCGGAAGCCCGGTGAACAGATTCAGCTTGATTCCTGCCGGCCAGGCCGAGGGACCACACTGGTGCACGAATCTGTGCACCGGGCCTCTAGTGTGCATATAAGATCTTTGGTTAATCTCTTCCTGCCCTCCCCCCTCCTCCCTTCCCTCTGAGATTCATCAGTCTGTTCCATGTTTCCATGCCTGTGCATTGAGTGTCTGCCCCCTGGTGGTCAGTGCATGTCATAGCTACCAGTCAAATGGAATAGTCGCTTAGGCATAGATAGATAGATAGATAGATAGATAGATAGATAGATAGAGATGGGGACTCCAAGACCCAGAGAGGTCACCTATTGGGTGAGTCAGGATGAGAACCCTTATGTCTTGGGCATTTCTCTCTACCCTCCACATCCACTCTTCCTTGATAAAGTCTGTGAGCTTGAGTGGGGAGGACATATTAATGCCCAGGCTCTGCCACCAGTTGGCTGTATGACCTTGGACAAATCACTCTGTGTGCCTCAATGCCCCATCTGGGCTCCTTGAGCTAGAGAATGCTGTGTTCTGAGGGGATGGCAATGCTACAGTGACTGAGGCTTTAACACACTCTGCACATTTTTCTGGGCAGCTGGGCAGTTTTAAATGTGGTCTCCTTTCTTCTCGTCCTCACTCCCCGCCAGTGTTTTGCCCTTGAGGGGCTTCACTGAATTTTCCTTTTCTTTTTGTCCAAAAGAAGAGGCAGGCGGGTTGGGTAAAAGGGTCCACAGCTGTTCACCTCTTCCTGGGCGCCAGGG